CAGACAATAGGATCCGCTGTACCAAAATTAGGAATCAAAAAAATGTAAGCGAAACGAAAGTTGGTACCATATGGAACTTAGTTTCTTCTAGACTTACAGGAATGCCACCTTTGTCCTAGTTTATGACATCTTGGCGTCGACCGCTGGTTCCTGTCAGCATATTGTCCCGCAGTCTGCGCACTGAATCTATATAACTGGACACTGGTCAGCTGCATTCTGCATTAACTGCGTGATTCAATCCATCATGTTAGCTTATCTCTTATTACAATTTCGTTGTGATGACTACACGATGTCAAAACGTCTAAACGCAGTATCTGTGGTCAGGAGTTTCAATCTATGCCATTGGTAGATAATCATCTGTCTCGGCTGTTTGACCTCACCCATAACATTGCTTATCAATGGAAAGCTCTACAATAAAAGCTCTATAAGCTCTAAAGCGAGTATAGTGTGACGTCGTTGCTAATTTATTAATGCCACTGATTTTCGCTTTATTTTAGAATTCCATCGTGATGACTGTGCGAGGTAGCAAAATCAGCGCGCTGTCATTTGATCAGGCGTTTGAGAACATATAATTTCCGATGGCCAATCACCAATTACTTCATTTAACCCTTCACGTTATACATCTGCTTGTGAGCGGAACATGAAACTTTCATCATAATTAACACTTTCTGTTGGTCAGACAATTTCATTCTGACAAGTACAGCAAGTTGATTAAATATGAATGAGTCTCACCGTTAACATAAAAATCGAAAATCTGAATTTATCGAACTTTCAAAAACCTGACTGTTTCCTTCGTGACGAATTCCATGTTTTATATCAATAAAAAGTTGTTTCAACTGTTGTCAAAACTGTATTTCTAAGTTCTGTTTAATGATTGAACATACTGATCACACGAGGTCATTATAAATCAACGCGCAGTCACTTAGCTGCGAGTTAAATCTGTTAATTAGAGATGGTATGAGTTGCTAGATTTAACTACCATTCATCCGTCAGTAGTAGATTGTCCAACTTGTGAATTTAGAAAAGTCCATGCTATTTTATGATATCATCATTGTGGCTGTGTCAGGTTAATAAATCGATAGAAAGTCGTTTAGCCGAGAACTGGAATATCTGCACTTTGAATACATCTATTTCAGTCCCATTTTCGGTTTCTTCAAACATATTGCTTGTCAGTCGATAGTTTATTGCAAACACACTGCGAAACCGGCCAAACGTTCCAATTTAAAGGAATTTAATTATTCAATTCTGTGCCACCTCGTGAAATCATAGAACCAATCGGTATAACAATAAATGATACTTAATAGATGTATTTCAAAATAGCAGTAGAGAAACTGCCAGCTTAAGGCGGTATTCAAATTCAGCATTGCGACATAACTTACGTATTTTGAACAGAGAGCTTTTGTTGATATGCAACATGATAAAATAGTCACAAACAAACAGATTTACTTTTTTGAAAGTTTTCCATAAATTTAATCTTGCGATTGTTAACGCTGACGTTGACGCGTGCAAATTTGATAAGCTTGAGTCGCAGAGAAATCGTCAGCCGAAAATGTCATTTTTGAAACTGATATTTATGACGAAAGTTTCATATTTTATTCACAAAGTGCTTTCGAGCTGTTTCACGTGACGGATTAAATTAAGTAATTGATACAGATGAAAGCCTGGACTTATATAAACTTTGACTCCTTATTAAATGACCATGACCACGACGGAATAACAGAATACAATGAAATTCATCGATGTTCACAGCTTGACAATCAATGACTTCGTATTTTACTCGCACAGACCTTTTCACCGATAGGCAGTACCAAGGTCGAAATTGAACAACTGATACAGATGATCGTCTGTCAATGAGATAAATTCAAAATAGTATCAGCAACTGCACGCTGACGAACTAACATTGCACAGTTGTCATCACAATGAAATTATAATAAGTAATCTGGCAAAGTCATATGGATATATCGAGATTTCTGACAAGTGATGGCCCCGTGTGATATCAGTAACAGATACCCTACCACCCACCTTAGGTTGCGGAAATTCAGAAGCAAAATGTACTACGAATCAAGTCATTCAGACGAACTGAAGCACTTCTGCTTCGTGGAAAAGAGGATGTAAAAGTAAAAGCAAGCCCAACTGACATTTTCCCTGAAGCCTCGATGACGTATTTCTCTCGAGCCGACACTGCTGTTACACATCAAAAAACAGCAGGTGTCTGAAGAGCGCTCAAGCATCTGAAAGTAAGGAAGTGGTGCCAAGTTGTATGTCTGGTAAATTCTGTCGAGGTCCTTACCGCAGTATTGGTGCAAAAGAAATCGAATTTATGTTAAAGTAATTCATTCATGAGAGTAGGTGTGCCTTAAAATTTGATGTGAGCTACCTATTCAGTTTACAGAACAAGAATTATCGATGCAAGAATTGTTCGATGAAGATATTTGATCGAATCAGTTACCTCTTAGCAAAATCGATGCCTAAACGTACATTAATTCATCCTAGAAACATACCTGATTTGCCGACACCGACGAATCAATCGGGTCTTTGTAAGTGAAACTGTCGGCGTATGCGATCTTAAGAACTTTTCCATTTTCTTCGAAAGATTGACCTTGCAGTTCGCCCTTGGAAATCCGAGACATCATGTCATCCATCATCTTGTTGGCCCCATCCGCCTCGCATTTTTCATAGTCATACCTAAATTTTTGAAAACATAGTTCGAAAGGATTTGATCATAAAGACATGAAGACAATTTCGAAGGTATTATCACATCTATTATTGCAATAACGAGGAAAGATAATCACAGGCCATGTGACGGCTGACACTGACATTATTATCCAGTTCGTTTCCCTCGTTTTATTTCAGTTTTCGGCGAATGCATTTGTCCAACTTTATTTGTAACTGTCCAATGTCATACAGACGTTTAAGTCACTCAAAAACTATAAAACTCAATTACAAGCGCTACTTTTATTATTATCGCTTATAGTAACATCGAATAATATTAGTTAGCGGAATGGATAACAGCACATGTAATCAAAGCAGCACGAAGTCGTATTCAGTAGTTCCCAGGTGACCCATCTCAACTAGATATGAAAATAATTTAGGATCCATTATGGTTGTTTTTGAACAATGATATAATGAGAAAATTCGATGAACTTCAGCTTCATAACGCCGTTCAGCTGCGCTATTTGATCTTCCAGTCGTACAAGGCCAAGAAAGGTTAAGAAACTTCGTTTCCAAAATCTTATAGAGAGAAATATATGAGGTTAGCTTTGGCAAAACATATCTAGAAGCAGAACCGATTCTCCAAGTGCTGACAGCACCTAGGAGATTATCTCAGCAAATAAACTGATTCATAGAGTTCCGCTGTTCCAATGCAGCTTTTGCGTCCTTGTAACGAAAAAGGTGCAATATTCAGAGAGGGGAAAGCATTATATACTGAGACGAAGCACAGTGGATATTATTTTCCTTAGACGAGAAGATCTGTCTTAAACGTTACAACGGT